GGTAGGTGACAGTGTTAAATGTGTATTTGTTACTGGGGATCACGGTCTGAAGCATTTGAAAGTCACTGCCTTAATGGTACCTCTCCTCTGCCTAATACTCTGTGAATACTTACTGAATTGAACAGGTTGATGAGTATGAAATGATCCATGTATTATAATTTCGAAGGCTCCACCTTAAAGGAATACAAAGAATAATGCCTATCTGAACAAAAGTGTATGGATCTGGCTTATATGAAGCTATGGAGGAATGGGGTGAGTGCCAGGGAAATGAGAATATTTATTATACTGTTTATGTTGATAGACTTTCTCTCCAATGATTAAAATGTGTTAAGATTTAAGGAAGATGAAACACAAGTTCATTTTGGAAAACTTCACTGAATCTACCTTATGAGTCTGCATCTTTAAAATATGCAGTATAGGTAATTTCACCATGATGCATAAAAGGATCTTTCAGAGACACCATGAAAGCCCTTGTTCAAGTTTTCTTTGCCCAAGATGCCCCAATATACTCTCAATATTCCCACTCCCACCATCTGTAAAAATCCCATCTGTCTTCCAAGACTTAGTTCAAAGGCCACCTATTTCATGGAAGCCTTTTTTTAACTCAATTTTTCCTCTTTCCACCCTCTACTACCACCCCAATCCCAAATATGGTCTCTTTTCTGAATCACCAGTGTTGAAAACTTCCTTTTTCAAGTGTGTACTTGTCTTAATTTCATCACTAGACAATATTAATATGTACAAGCAACACTTTACTTATCTGTGCATCCCCCACAGCAACCAGCAAAAGGTCTTGTACTTAAGAGATGATCAATAAATATTTGTTAAATGAATAAATGAAAGCAACAGATGGCCTGTTAAAAAGGATGGTCATTATTTTAAAGGCCCTGAGGAACGGCTTATATGTCTAGCACCTAATCAAAAGCTGGTGTACCACAGGAGGAGGAGCAGGGAGTGGAGGGAATGGCCTTGTACCTCTGCATATCTGTCCCTGTTAACTCACTGAATGCCCAACTCTTCAAGACTCTACAGAACAAAGCTACAGTGTCGGGTGCTGAATGAGCACCTTCACCTTGTTCCAAGTCCTCCAGTCTTGCTTCAAATCAGAAATTGGAAGTGGAATTAGAGATGGAAATTAGGACTATCTTTTTCAACTTTACGGTATGGCTGAAAAGGTTGTAACAGCCATCTGGATAATTCAGGTTCAAAAAACCCATGCTGAAAAATAAGTATGGATGTTTCTGAGTAGGGGGAAGAGTATGTTAAGGATGCAAAGGAGGTAGTTCTTGAATTATCAGCTGATTGTGTATATTGATTACATTCAACGTAACTGAGCTTTTCCCTTCATATTATCTATACAGTCATTTGAGGACACTTTCTGTGACTGCAAGAACAAACCGGCTCAGATTCAAAGGCACAGTCACAACTAATAAACTCCGATTTGTTCAACTGGAAAATGATGTCCATCAATTAGAAAAAATTGTTAGGGATTAAAATAAGATTCTCTTTTGCCATTAATCTGTACCTCCTCCTTCCTCCTTCAAAAAAAAAAAAATGTTTTCTATGAAGAATTAAAGGAAGAAGCTTTCAATGTAAAGCTTCTTTATTTAAAATGTATATTGCTCTAACACAGTAATTCATAATTAACAGGTATACTTTCCTAACTATGGTATTTTATTTTCAAATTTTTAATTTTAATGCCACTTAGGGCTCTAACTTTCTCTTTGATATTTTAAAAGAACCTTAACTTCCAGTCCATCAGATTTTGTTTTGTAATTAATTTCAGAGCTGTCCTTATAAACTGAGAGACATTTGAAGTACTCTAGAAAATGGCAATGTCTGACTGGATTTGAAGTCAGATAGTTGCGCTTTGAAGCTAATTTTTGGTGGAAATACAGCTGCTACCTATTTAGATGTGTGTCTCTGGGCAGGTTACCCTATCTCCCCATCTTCAGTTTTCCTATCTGTAACATAGAATAACAATACTTGCTTTATAATGTTGTGAAGATTAACTGAGCTAAAACATGAAAAGTACCCAGAACAGCGTCTGATAAGTAAATGTTAGTTTTAAAAAGTTTACCGTCATCTGTTTTATGACCTCAGTAAAGTTATTTAATAGTTCAAAGCTTCTATTTCCTCATCTATAAAATGGGACTACTACCACTTACCCTTTCCAGGATTAAGACATTCAAATAAGAAAACAATGGATATCAAAATATCGGACATGCAGAAAGTATTCAAATATTCATGTTTTGAACAATTTATAAGCTTAAAAATAAACCACAAACTTAAAAAATTATGTAAACCATAAAACAGAGAACATCATCCAAAAATTCATCTGTAACTGAGAAAAATGCCTAAACATGTTAGAAATGCATACTCAAGTCTGGTTTATCTTTAACTTACCAGAAACATAAAAGCTTTTGTAAAATGTAATTCTACATCTGCAAAACTGGAAACGCTCCCTGGTCAAGCCAAACTGCCCTAGTATATTGTGATCAAGAAAGTCTGCACGCTGTCATAAGGCAAAAACCAATGCACTGATTAAAATCTGATTGCATGTACATCAACTTTTTAAAAAACATGTATGTTTCTGCTTTTTAAAAAATAATAAATGTACTGCATCTAATGTAAATTTCAAGTCAATTCAAAAGATTTTTATTCTGTGACACTGCTCAAGGGTAATTCAGCTGGGAACTAAGGATGCAAAAGGAAACAGAGCTCAGGCCCTGTGCAGGAAGAATCCACAAATTAGTGGCTGATAATCTCAAAATATGACTTATAAAAGTCATGAAGGGGTTCACTTTAAGTCAGCAAACAGACAAGCAGCATAAAAACATACCAAAACAGTAAGTTCTTCCCTTTGACTGAAAAACTGCCTTTGAAAAGCAAACGTCATTTTTAAAGTACAGTTGCTATCTGGAAAGCTATTGAATTTGTGCCAGAAACCAACATTTCTAAATGTAAACCTATAAAATAATAGGTATCTGTAAATGAAACCCCAGGAGCAGCAACATAGTAATTAGCAACTTTTACAGAGTCATAACATGTTTCATATTCTCTCTGCCCTGGCTCTTTGAAGTTTCTAGTGCAACATGTAAAAGTTTTATTACATTAGGGCACCAACATTATGCAGAGCAAGCTGTACTTACTCATCACAGGATCTTTTGTAAGAAACTGTTCGATAATGTGCTAGCTTTGTGTCCAGTTTATTTTGTTATACTTGTCTTTAGGAAAATAAAAGTCACTGGAAACCCAAATCACAGAAAATACACGCAGATCCACATATCATCTATATGAGTCATAAATCATAAAGCAGTTTAGCTTTAAAACTGTACATTGCATATTCATGTGCACACCACTTGCAGTTTTAGACACATGTGAACTCTTTACTGAGTTAAAGCAAAAGAAAAAAAAAAAAAAAAGCTCAGCTCTACAATAAGCGATTACCAGAGGCAGAACAGAGTGCAGTTAATATGCTTGTTCCAGCAGATGTTCATCCCCGTAAATATTAAACATAACACAAGTTCCTCCAGGAATATGCGGGCAGTAATTTTATCACCTGAATAGTGCTGGTTGGAAACATTTAAGAGATAGTTGTGGGGGGGGAGGGAGGCAGAGAAAGAAGGGGGAATAAAAGGGATACTGAACCAGCCAATGGGATTTTTAAGACACCCGCAACAGGAATCAAACCTCTTCCAGCGGCGATTTACCTACAGCAGCTCCCCAGTGTGAAATCCCCGAAAACAGAACCTGGAGTGCCCCCCAGGCTGCGAGCTGCGAGCGTGGCAAAAAGGGATAGCGGGGCGCCTGAGTGGGGTGGGGAGGAGGAGTGCAACTGTGAAGAGGTGTGAAGAAAGGGCCCAGAGGAATTGTGAACCTCGAGGAAAGGAGTCTCCCTGGGCCAAGGCCTCTGGAATTCCCGCACGGAGAAACACTCGTCTCCTGCCCTGGGTGTTCACTTTTCCATCTCGGTGAGAGTGGGTGGGAGAGACAGAAAGGATGCAGCCGAGACCAGGCGCAGGCAGGGAGACTGGAGCATCCTCTAAGGGCACTTCGCAGCAGCGCCAACTCCAGGGGGTCGCTGGTGCCAGCCGGAGGCTCTCGGGGAGGAGGGAGGGGGAGCAATCGGAGGGAAAGGAAGTGAGAGGAGCAGGGGGCCGACGGGTGGATCCCCCGGCATTAGTGACAGTCTTCAAATCGCTTCTTTTCCTCCCCAAAGCTGCACTCTGCCCCTGGCTACCTAGATCACCAGCCCCTGGGTTGGGGCGGGCCGCCGCGAGGGAGGGGGACAGGAGAGGAGGAAACAGACCGGCAGGCGGCCACGCATCCCCCCGGGGAGGCAGGAAAGGGCCGGCGAGGCGGGCGCCCCCAACCCACCCCACCCCCACGGCGGCCGGCCGCCCCGAGCCCCCCGCCCAGGTGAGGGCGCGCGGGCCGCCGCGGCCGCCCCTCGCCGCTCCGGCCCGCCCGAAGCGGCCGGCACGGGGACTCACCACAGCGACTCGAGGTCCCATTCCTGGAGCAGGGCTAAGTCGAAGCTGTCCATGGTGGGAGGTGTCAGAGCCGCCGTCGCCGCTACTGCTGCCGCCGAGGCTCGGGCCGCCCGCGCGCTGCAACGAAAAGCGCCGCTCAAGGTGCATCCCAACCGCGCCGGAGCGGCCGCCGCCCGCCCGCCGCCCGCCCCCGGGTCGGGGCTCCCGGCGCCCTCCACCCTCGACTCCGGGCCGGCCGGGCGGCAGCGGCCAGCGCACTCACCCGCTCCCCGGCTTGTGCGCAGGCACACTCAGGAGAGAGCGGCTAGCTCGCCGCGCCGCCGCCGCCCCCCGCCCCCGGCCCAGCGCCCGCCCCTCCTCCCCTCCCTCCAGGCGGCCCGGCCCGCTGCAGCCGCCGCCGCCGCGGTGCTCCGCGCCCGCCCGCCCGCCTCTTTCTCCTCCGGGAGGCGCGTGTGCGCGGGCGAGGCCGAGGCGCGCGCGCGCCGTGAGCCCCGCGCCGCGCCCGCCCCGCGCGCCCCTGCGCTCCCCGCGCCGCTCCTCGGGGTCCCGCGGCGCTCGCAGGCCGCGCCGCCCCTCCGCCACTCTCCCGCCGCCTCCGCGGCCCGCCCGCCTCTCTGCAGCCCAGGGGTGCCTGGGGCGGCCCCGCAAGCGGGAGAGGGCGGCGAGGTGGCGGCGCCGAGTGCGGGGGGATGCGGAGCTTTGCCTGGCCCTGCCGCATCCCTCGGCCGCCCGCCCGCGCCTGGCCCCGCCCGGCCCTGCCGGGGCTGCACGCACTTCTCCCTAGGCCCAGAATCCACTTGACCCTGCTGGGCGCTCCCGTGGGCGGCGGACCCGGGTGGGTGCAGGGGAATTCCCTGGCCGCCCACGCGCGGGGAGAGAGCTGTGCGGCCCGCAGCAGCAGCGTCCCAAACAAACCGTTTAAGGTCTCTGGAGCCCGCAAGTTCAGCGAAATAAAGGGGCGGCGCGGAGGAGACCTCTTCCACCCGGACCTGCTCTCCTCTGCGGTTTGGCCTCCAGTGGGGATCCCACCCAACCTCCAGCTGGCCAGCCCTGGAAACCAACCTCCTTTCTTTTTATTTCTTACGGGGAAGGGAGACAGACTGGCCTCCGGGTGTCTACTGCAAACTTGCCGCCAGTCTCCGGTCTGGAGAGGCAGGTGATCAGCCAGAAGGGTGATAGAGTCTCATCGTGGCTCCTAAAGAGTAATAATAACCTCTCTCACTGTAAAGACAGCTCTTCCGCGGGCTTACTTTCTGAGACATGCTGAGAAGCGCATGTCTCGGTCAGGGCCATACCTCTGCTGCTCCACAGCTGGCCTAGAACCGGAAGCCCCTCCAAGGCCCCCTGACTCTCCTGACCTCTTGGCCGAAGCTCCGGATTCTCACCAGGGATTCCTCAGCATTCCTAGAGAGCAGCACAGCGCCTGCAGTTATGCCTCACCACGCACACCAAACCTCGCACTCCCAGCCAAGAGGGAGTCCCTTCCAGCACTCTCCCCTTTGTTCCTTTTTGGACAAGAACCGCTGACTGGGGCTGCCAGAAATGGAAACCCTTGGGTGCAAGTGATGGGATCCCTCCAACGTCAAACCGAAGAGTCACCCTCTCGCCTCACCCACCTCCGAAAGAGGATTAACAAACTCAGTTCGGGACACAGATAGAAGACCAAAAGGCCAGTGAGACTTCTTTCCTATTTGAGACTAGATTTCAGAATGCTCAGCCTGGCCCCCCTTTTCCCCCAGCTCTGAATCAGTCCTTTCTGCACTAGCATCTATAACTAATGTGCAAAATGTAAAACTCTAAATTAAGGCAGAGTCGGCATCAACATAGTCTGGGAAAATGGAATTGTTATTTTACAAGCTGATAACTCCCAGCCCTTAAAACTCCCCTTCATTAGCTGAAGGTAGCAAGAAGGTTAGGAAAGAACATAGAGAATACGAATGTAGGAAAAAATACAGGTGTGAAGGGCTGGCTGCCCAAATCCCAATGCACACTGTATTTGGAGAAAAGGAAAAAAAATCTGTCTTCCTAATATCTCCTTAGCATAAAGCCTTATTGGAAATGTTTGCTTTGGCGAAAGTGAGATCGAGACATTTAGACAGCATTCCCAGGAACAAAGGCTGGGGGTGGAGGCTGGAGGAGGGAGCAGGAACAGCCCCTGTCTGGAAGAACTGCAAGTTCTGAGGCCTGAACAAGAAATGTGTCCTGTTCCCGTGCTCCTGGCTGCAGCTGGGAAGCTTCTTCTGAAAGGAGACCTCCCTGCCCTCACCGGGATCTGGCTTTCCTTCCCTTCCCACCACATCTGTTTATACAAAGGAGGGCCGCTGAAGGACAAACATAACCGTGTTTACTGCGAGTCCCATGCTGGGCTTGGAGCTCAGATACAGATTTGCCCTCACCATGGAGGCTGAAGATAAATAGATGATCCCAGAAATGGAAAGAGGGAAGGCCCTGGGATAGTATAGAGCTGGTTGAGGGGTTTACTCATGAAAGGCTCTCCCAAAAACCATGTAGTAATAGGAAAATTTGCATTTTAAACTCTCATGTCTTGTGTTAATATATGAGAGTGCGTGCACCTAAAGCAATTGCAAGGCGAGTATTTAAAAATATGTCTTCAGGAATAGCCATGATTTTCTGTTTGGTGCCTCTAACATGAGGATAGTTGGATTGATTGTTTCGTGTTACGTTTTCGTGTAATAGTGTCTTGGAGAATGAGGGCTTTTGAGGAAACCCAAATAGTTGCAGATACTGTTTTTACTAAGCTGTCGTGGAGAGAAATCCAAATTAATAGTTTTTACAAGTAAAATGTAGAACAGTTAATGAGAGCCTTTGTGGGAGATCTTTATTATTTATCTGGTTTATGAAGATGTTCCTATTATCCTCCAGCCTCTGGGTATGCAAACTAAAATGAGCACTTAATCTAGTTGTCAAAATTTTAACTCCTTAATACAAAGCAAAAAAAGGGTTTGGACTTTTGGGGATTAGAATGTCAGAAGTAAAAGGGCAGTTTTTTTATATAAAAGAGGAGACTATCTAAAAATAAAAATTTTAGAATGATGTTTTCTACGAAGCTGTATCTTAGCTTTTGCTCATCCTATAGTGCTTCTGACCTGAGGGGCTTTTCTCCCCACATGGATGCAAACAGCACCCCTGGGAGCTGAATCAAACCACCCAGCTGAGGGGACGGCCGCTGGGGGAAGCAGCTAAATGAGAGGAGCTGCTTGGCTTCCTGAGTCAGGTTGGTTGGTTGGTTGGTGTAGACTAAATGTACCAAAGAAAGAGACTAACAAATGAATCCTCCTCAGTCTGGGGCCCTACTTATATTCTGCCAATCTAGAACTGGAAGCCTCCTAAACAGACCCAGAAACAAACCTATAGCATCTAAGATCTCCCTTCAGATATGATTTGATAGAAGAGAAAGAAGCCTTGCATGGCTTTAATTCATGCCTTATTCTGAAGACTCATCTGCAACTGAGAGGTCACTTTTGTAACCAAAGTGGGATATTTTTCTCTTTATAATCCCACCATTCCCCTAGAAAAATATGTCTAGCCAAAAGCCGGCTCTGCAGGTGGTCCTGCTGGAAGTTGATAGGAGCAGCATCAAGCTGCCTCAGCCCCTACAGCATCTCCAGCTTTATCCCAAAGGACACCATTCTCTCCTGTTCCAGCAAAGCTGCAGATGCATCACTCCATCTGCTTCTTCCAGAGGCTTCTTGGGTGTTTGAAACCGTATCCAGGGATTGTAGGATAAACCTTCTAGGCTTTCTCCTTGCAAATTACATGCTAATATGGTGAACTCCAGAACAGCATAGATTTTAGATCCACCCAGGAGTTCTCGTGTCTTCAGACCTTTCCCTCTCTCTCCACAGGTATCTCTGAGTGGATCTAACCTAGGATTTGAGGTGCCTTTCTTTCTCTGTTTTTTTTTTTTTTTTTTTTTTTTTTTTTTTTCATCATTCACCAGGTCCTGAGCAGATGGTGTGGCTGTGCTGGCTGTCATCACTCCTCCTATGTTTCCATGGAAACATGGGGCATAGGGACCATCTCCGCCTTGGGCTTTCTGACAGTATCCTCTGGCGGAGAACTTCAGTACTCATGCCCCTCCCCCTAGCCTGTTTGCTGTCTTGGGGATTTGGAGACCTTTCTGGGGCCCTGGGAGCCAGGGTCATTTCAGAGATCATCTAAGGACATACTCCCTGCAAATGGTTGTGAACTGGCTGGGCAAAGGAGGGAGGGAAGAAAGGGGACAAATACCCCAGTCAAGGGCTGAGACCTGTTTTAGATGGCACCATATTTGGACTATCTGTCCCTGCAGCCAGCTTCCATAATAGCTGAATATTGCCCAGATGTCAAAAGAGATGCTCCTAGGGTTTCATCTGCTCATCAGACAACAGATATTTATTAAGCGTAAGTACTTGCTGAGGTATTACACTTCACTGACATTCTGCCCCCTTGGGAATGAATGTTCCTGGGAATGCGCCTTTCTTTTCTTTCTTTCTCTTTCTTTCTTTCTTTCTTTCTTTTTTCTTTCTTTCTTTTTCTTTCTTTCTTTTTTTTCTTTCTTTTCACCAAAACCAGGTTTTTCCCTAAGGAATGTACCTTCCTCAAAGTTTCCAGCATCCTCCTGCCTACATAATTCACTTATATAGCCACTATGACATTAATTAGATTCAGAAGTCCCTGGAAACAGCAGAGCTAGGCAGGGTCAGAGGGCAAGCAGGGCAGAGAAAAGAAAGGAGAAAATGAGCCCTGGGAGAGGAGAAGGAAGTGGAGGGAAGTTTTTCATGCCCTTCAAGCACCAAACAAAACACAGATAATTTCAAAAGTGGTCAGCCACTGTAACAGTGCTTAGAGAATTAAGGTATTGACAAATTGAAGAGTGTTTTAAAATAAAGTGGATGGGGCATAAGCATTTCATGCATGTTTGTCTTGATGTTATACAGCTGGTACTAAAGGTTGGTGGGTGAAGCTTACTACATTTTTAAAAGAAGAAAAAGGCAGGCACACATACTAAAGTTGAAAATGCAGTCAGGAAGGACATTTACTTTTCATGAAAGGATCCGAAAAGCATCTCCTATCACAGATCATATATTCTATGCCATGCTGACCTATGTTGGGGGATAATCTCATTATTTTGGGATATGAAAAGATCCCTTGGTGCTGGTAACAAGAACCAGTCATCCTGACTTAAATCCCCACAGATTCTTTCTTATGCTTCTTCAAGATGTGCCCTGGTCATTTGTGCAAGTTTCGAGGACTCTGTTGAGACCCTGTTGAGAATGAGAGGTAACCATATCATTAGCAAACATGTCTATGTTACTATAAACTGGGTGCTGTTCTAAGTATCAGCTCCATTTAGTCCTCCCAAAAGCACATAAGTTATGTTGCCGTTGTTTTTATTTTACAGGTGAGTATGCTACGGAACAGGTTAGTGTCACAAACCAAAGCGTGGCAGATTGGGAATTGGTGTGGTATCTCTGGTAGCTGTGATACTCCACCTCCCACAACTTTTTCCTTAATTATCTATAGCACTGGCGCATTCTCATGCTCACAGGCACTGAAATAATGAAAGTAATACAGTCCCAGTTGGAAGGTGAGAGAGAGCCCTCTACCCCTCTCTGCAATTCTCCTCCCGCCCAGTTTTGCCCCTTGGGTTCTGCCGTAACAGCACCTGGAGTGAGGCGCTCCTTGTCTCTAGCCTCAGCGTCTTCCTTTGCAACATAAGAAGGCTTGATTGGATGTTCTTTGTCTCTGTCAGTTTTTGTCTCTGACAGTTCTGAAATGTTAGAGTTCTGTTTTTTTCAGTTGTTCTTCCTGAGCACTGCCAGACAGGAATCCCTGGAGTATGTCAGGAGAGCCATAAACCTTTTCTTGTTTAAAGGTAGGATCCTCTTCTTGGCTTAAACAAATCTCAAAGTGTTGGTCTGCTTCAAATGGGAATGCTATGCTATCTGTAAAATATTAACAGATGGCAAGAGGAATGTGTTCAGGAGAGAGACCCTTAGATTAGGTCTGGGGGAAGCATGGGGGAAAAGTCACAATACAACTGTGGGTGTCAGACTCTTTTCTCTGGGGCACCGGAGAGTATTCAAGCATGGATTGGTGGTCCCCATGCAGCCCCCGGAGGAATCTGAAGCTGAAAATGCAGCAATTATGGCTCACAGCCTAAAAACAGTGACATTTCAAAGTTATATCTTAATGTGTAAAACATTGATGGGGAAAGGGCAGCAACAGAAGATCCTCACAAGGTCTTTCAGATAGAGGCATCTCCCACTACTCAGAGTCTCGCAGGAAGTCCCCAAGTCCCAAACAAGAAGAAACAGACAGCAGAGGTCACCTAATCAGGAGCTTGAGATAAACAAGTTCAGGCCCCAGACCTGGCTAGCTGCTCACCCAACGTCCATCTGCATTTGTCCTTCACAGCAAAATGTAAGTCTGATTTGAGGAAGTCACAAGCCCAGCTCACATAACTGTATTTTCCATTCTCTCCTATTGCAAGAACTAGGCATGTAACTCAGTTCCGGCCAGTAAGACACCAGTTTATGTCAGCTGGGATTTCTCAGAATGTTTTGCTTCCCTGCAGTAGATACCACCCCTTCTTCTAGGTCACTTTCTTCTTCCTGTCCAAAATGCAGGTTGAAGTGTGAGGTGGAGAAGCCATCATAGATTTTAGGAGCAAAAGTTAGAGACTAAATTTGGCAGGTCTGAAATTAAAAGGAAGCTAGGTCCTTGATGACTGCTTCATATAACTCTACCATCTTTAGACCATCCTGCCTAGATCTGGACTTTCAGGAACAAAAGAAGACTCTATGTGGCTAAGGCACTCTAGCAGTGTTTTGAACATTGCAGCTAACCCATTAGAGAAGTCACAGTCCCTTAAGTGTGCCCCACACATTGCTAGGTATAGTCAGGTCTACCAGATGTCCCAGCCTATATGCCCCAATGGGGGCAGCACTGTCAAAGAATTAAGTGTGATTTACAAAAAACTATGATTATTTCCTTACATGTAATCTTGCCTTCTGAGTTCACTCTCATTGTAAGCAAGTTAATTAATAAGAAACTCATACCCAATTGTCTGAAGACTGATTAATCTGGCTCCAGCATTTTTTGAATATTCCACATTATTAATTGTTTCTTTATTTTCATGTTATTTGTTAACCTGGTTAAGTTGCTGTTATATCCTCACAGGGATACTAACAGATTGCATTTATGAAAAACACTGTAGGAATAATAATAGTCAGCCTTTCTTGTGTCCTTGCCACATATACAAAAATATGCATGTTTCAGAGTTTGTCATTGTTTCTCTCAATAAACTAATTATCACTGTATGAAGCTGATATACTCCAGAAGAAGTTTAGGAAAACAAATAATTAAGTACAGTATGTTGAAATATAAACTGCATTACAGGGTTAGAACCCTATAATAAGATCGCAGAAGCTTGAAAGTTGGGAGAAAGCATGGAGTCTGTCTCTAGCTAACCTCCTACCCATTGCAGCAATTCCCTCCATATCAACCCTGGTATGGCCAGTCTCCAGATGAATGGTTCCAGTGGTAGGAAGTGCACTCTCTGAAAAGACTCCCTATTTTATTTTCAAGAGCTCAGCTCTAGCTGGAACAACATTGTTCCTTATATTTATGGACCCCAAATTGATTTCCCCGTACCTTCTTAACGTTTCACAAGCTCGCAGTAAGCATGCAATTAGAGCTCAGCTTCGCTAAATTCATTCTATTGGTCCTCCATATATTGAGACCTATGGGCTCAAGTATTTCCTCAGCACTTTGGTAGAAAGAAGTCTTTGCTCAGTGGAATACCATACAGAGAGGGGGAGTCAGTCATGGAGATGAGAGAAACCCCATCTTCTAATTTGGAGTTGGTTTCTTGGAAGAAGGGAGCTTCATAAAGAAGTTGGAGCTGGCTACAAGAAGGAAAATGCCCACTACAAGGAAGGAGGCAGGAAACCCCTGGAAAGAAAGATGCCTCCCTGCTAGTTTTCAAGAAAGAGGCTGGGCCAGGCGTGGTGGCTCATTCCTGTAATCCTAGTACTTTGGGAGGCTGA